TATACTATATATGTAATGAATACACAAAATACGACCTTGAAAAGAAAAAAGCCTAGAAGAAACCAGCCTATGGAAGGCTGAAAAGATACTCAAGCACTCTAACTGAAACAGATATTCCAAACGGTAACAAATAAGCAATACTATAACGAAACGTTTCATGAAAACAAAAGCAGGGTAAGCCAAAAATTACTAATTTTCAGCGCATATACCGACAATCGTCCGCGAATTGTCCCTCCATTTGGCAGCTCGCCAAACTTCTCCCAACTTCACTATAAGTTCGCACCGAATGTAACTGGAGAAATCGAAACAGACAAGAATAAATGATCTATAGTTTATGTAGAATTGCCGTTTTTTCTCCACATTGGGCTCGCTCCCAAAAATCGCTTCTTTTTCGCTTTCAATTTTTCACCTTCCCTAGTGACGTTCAGTGGCACTTTTTTAAAACTTTACTCTTCCATTTCCCGGCAGTCTTCCCAATTCTTCGCTTCATTAAAGCGCAGAAATTCAATTTCGACTTGAAACCACCGAATTCGTGCATTATCGCGCTAACGTTTTAATCATCCGTCTTCACAGCTGTATCTCCTGTAGCATTCGTTATATGACAGTTCTTCCAGTTTCTGCATACGTGCTCTCTGAAAGATATCTTCTTAAAGATACGCTTAGGCGCACCCCTCAATTTACGAAGAACCTTCGTCACTTATTTGACTACCAAGTGTTCTTTTAGCAGTTTTAAAGACGTCTATATCTGCAGCACCAGTAGAAACAAAGCGTAACTTTTTAAACAACAGGAGGAATTTTTCGTGGAAAACTGAAAAAACCAAACTTCATTTCAGTACTCCTTAAAAACTACCTAAAGAGCAAATTTCCCAAGTACTCACTCTACTACAAGTTGTAAAATTGAAGAACCTCACGGTCGAACTGCACTTTCAGGAACAGGTAGAAAGCAAAGCACGGAAGAAAGCGCAGTGAGAAACCATTTTTCTATCGAAAAATACCACTTTCTCACTACATCACGAATAATCTTCCAGTAAGTATCTCTCGCACAATAAACAAGAACAGAAAGCGGTTGACTCGTTTCCGTTTTTCGGCTGCTTGCCCCTTTTCGCGTCCAGTTCCCATTAAGGTCCACTTTGTGCGCACTCACTATCCTTTTCGTCCCCTCAGTGGGTGGCATACAACGTTCCATAACAGAACCAAACGAATTCACCCGGTTGGCTCCAAAACAGTCTTATTTATTTCCTTCCTTCGACCATTCTACCATAAAATTTTTTTTTTATTCAAGCTGAGTCACTTAGCGCGTCTGCAAAGCGGATGGGGTACACGCTGTCTTGAACCTAAAAAGCCCTTTCAGCTGTATGTTGGTCCTTTTTCATAAAAAAATTCTGAATTAGCATCGGTGCTGTAGGCTCGCAGAAATGCCTTTAATCTCGGCCGTAGACTTACTGGATAAGGGCTCTGATATCAACGCCAAATAAAGGCTTAAAGGATGTACATGCACATGCAGAACATGCATGTCCCTGCACGGCCTTTGGCCCGTTGCACGATGCATTTGAAACAATAAAATCAGCTGCTTTCTATCTGAAACCCCACTGGAGGTTTCTGGCATATTGTCAGTAGGCTGATAAGAGAGTGACAAGACAGTAACCGGCACCATCAGCTACGGCGTCCGTGATTTTGGCACCGATGAAAGAAAAAAATTTCTTATTGTTCTAAATTCTTGGAGGAAACAATCTCGTCAACCCTTTGTTCTTCCACGCTTTCTACAAAATCAAGAACTACACTCTTACTAGATATCTGAAAACAAAACTACTTTTATGTATAAAATTATTGTAAGTAGACGTTAGGCGTTAAATATGGAGAAGACTAAAAGTAAGAGTTTGACATTTGTCGAACTCAATGATTTAGGCGACAAACAGCATAAGTGACAGTCATAAAAATACAGTACAGCGGGAAAAATTTAGTCCTTTGTCAGACACTCTTTTTGCTTGATCACCCTTACCAATTTACTCCCCATCACTCCTACCAGCTACCTATACCTGTCCAACACTTTACACCAATCCTTCCGAACTAATATTCTAGTTATTCAGTATTCTCATGTTTTTCGAATTTAATATAAATTATTCATTCTGTTCGCTTTGAAAATGGACTCTGAGACTACCACTCAAAAACCTCAACTCTGCTGTCTCTTGTCCATCAGAAAGTAGAAGCCAAGGTTTACGTTCCTTATCATTATCTTACTTCAGAATCCAGTTTTCAACAATGTCTTTGCTGCGTATAGTATGTATACCGGACTGAAGGGCTCCTTTCGAGTTTGTCCTTTAACATATGAAAAAAAAAAAAAAGAAAAAAAAGGAAAAATATGAAAGGAATGCTACAAATGTACTATTTTTAACGAAGTGAGTCATGGAAGCTTCAAGATACGTCAGTTGAACCGCGGATTTCAATGCTCCGTGACGCGCGCAATGAGCTCGTCATAGAGCCAAGTTCGCCTGAGTGTCCTACCAAATACAAAATACTGTGACCAACATATTCAACTGACCAAAAGTTAAAAACAAGGATCTCGAAAAAGCACATTCAAGATTATTCGCAAAGGATATTCCAAACGACAGTCCATCTTTTTAGATCACGAAATAATATACTTTTTCAACGGTATGATTTCTTCAAAGATAACAAAAAATTGACTCTATACTTGCCCTCCCCGTTCCCCTCAAACCAGAAGACTCAGAACTAATTCCATAATGATTTCTTATCAGGAGGCATACCACCTTAAATGACTCGTTTTCCTCACTTTCTAATACATGATGTGTTTTCGTTACAACAAGGACTACTAATTGTTTTTTTATTTCGGCCCATCCTCGATTTTGCTTCTTGACATTAGGGCGACCTGACTGTACCTTCAACTCGCAAACTCTTCACCTCAACATCAAGGAAATTGTACTTCAGGAAATTGATACCAAAACTTTGCCAAATTAAATTTCCATTTCTTACAAATACTACCATTTTCTAATGTAAAACAAAGCCAGCTATACAAGTTCCGGTTACCACTTAACTTTTTTAGGTGATAAATTCCATATTTCTGTTTACCAACTCGTATTCTCAGCACTTCAACTGTCAGCCATCCAAATAATAACTTTCAATTTTCTTCTAAAACAGTTATAGGAGTCATTATTTTGCAATGTTTGAACCCATTCCCTTTCTCCCAGATGCACGTCCGGAAAACTTAGTCATTTTCAAAGAGAAAACTTGCCGATAAACCTTGGAGAACAACAACTTGTAACAAAAATTTCAGTTCAAGAAACATCTTAAACTCAATTTTGTGTTACAGGTAAGCAGTGAAGACCCAGTACATTAGCATCCAAATGGATCCAGAAGAGCACTGGCAGTGACAATGACAAAGCACTGCGAAAAATGCGGTAAAGCGAGTAGTGTCATAGAAGATCTATCACTGAAAAGTTACAACTATGGTTTTGACAAGTAATAAAGGTGGTAGGATATTACAGAGAATAAACATTCTCATTTGAGCTTGGTTGCACTCTGAGAAAGCAGCCAAATTCAGACTACCTCAACTTATCTCTTTCTGATATCACATACTGCTTACGTCGTCTAACTTAGCCACCGTCCCTCTTAAATACATATTATAAAAAAAAAATACGGAAAGCTGCATATTTTATATAACCCGCTTCTATCATTTTTTATTTAGGCCAGTTAAAATAAAAAGAATAACAAGATCCACCACGCTTTCTAAACTTTTTCATTCCATTCCCTTTACGCTTTTAGCTCTTCCACCCAGAGAAACACTCAAATATGACGATGACAAAAAATAGCAAACCCGGTTTTAACCATATGAGCCAGGCCCTCTCGCAAACGAAGTACTTTACTGAAGTAGTTTCAAACCATAAAAAACAATAACGATTTCAAATTGTACTTCGCCAAGTAACACAAACTATAAAAGATAGCAAATACAGACTTCGCCTAGCATAACAGATTGTTGCATATCTGCCCTATCCAGCACAGTTGCGGAAACTTTTGGTTTCTTCCCGTTCAAAATTTTGAAAAATTTTGAACAGACCCGTACTACACTTCTTTTGTGAAGGGCATTCACTTGACTTTTCTTTTAACCACCCTCCTGCTGCAAAAAGTTTGGAAGATGAAAAGAATTGCCAAATAATTAAAATAAACTGTGGCCTGAGCCAAGCCTTCAAAAAATATCTGCGTTTTGAGATGAATTTCCAATCACACATATTCTAGTTTTTCCTCAATTAGATTACTATCAAAAGAATTGCAAAATCAACAGTTGAGACCGCGTTTTAATGCTTCTGCAGCTGACAGCGCTGCTTTCGACTGAGTCAGTAATAGATTTTAACATATTCCCGTACAAATATTCTAAACAAACATTCGAATAAAAACTTCGCTCCGGCGTAATTTGAAAATTTTGGAGCCCTTGCACTTCGACGGCCTCAGGGAGCTTATTGGCTAGCTGCTTTTTGGCGGAAAAGTTGCGGGAGGGGACAGCTACATATATGTACCTCAAGCCCCCGATTAATACCTATTTTAAATAAGGCAGCCCACCTACACTTCTCCCTTAACCACCACTGCTCTGCTTACCTCAAACTTCAGTAATTAAACATTCATCGCATCAGTAGTGTGATGTCAGCACTCCAACCATTTTATGCTACTGTCTCATACTTCTCATCAATCTATTCACCTTCGTGTTATTACGAAATGTTAAACCCGTTGGCTCGGCGCTATTTATAAATTTACAATTGTAAAACACACAGTTCCAGCGCCAGAAACAGACTTCATAGTTTCCAGTCGAAGTTTGACACGATCAACATGTCTCTTCAACTGCATCAAGCGGCGACAACAGAGATATTCCTCCGCTTCCAAGGACCTTCCTCCCAATGTGTATATGGGGTCATCCAAGTGCAAGAGCTGCAAAATCGTTTCAAAGAAACAGCTATTACACTTACTTTTCAAATTACATCGCTCTGCTTCCTAAATGAACCTTTCCGAGCGGAATTTTTGGAATTCATAAATTGCTAATGACAGCAAATATTCTTTTGCCATTATTCTTCCAGCAATGCATGGTAGAACACGAGAGAATTTTTGTTCACTTGCAGCGGGTAAGCCTATGCGAAAAAGATGTGCTCAAAGAACTTATCCTTCTTTATATCCCCTGAAGATACAAAAACTACTGATATTTCTGTCAAATGACCCATTCCTCAATTGTAAAGGCTACTGGCCTGCAAGGATCTTCCGTTAGTCGGCTTTTGCTGCTAATCTTTTTACTGCGCTTCCTATGCAATCACACAAAAAAATATTCACAATGCCCTGTACCGAAGAAGCTTTGCTGCAACAAAGAAATTTGCAGAGTTATATGAAAACCAAAAGGTTTTTTCAATTTCCGTATCTTGAAACACACAGCTTGGAAAAGCAGGCAATTTTCTTTGAACTGCATTTTTCTTTAAGAAGACTTAAAAAGTTGCTGGAATAAATATAATGATTGAAGCAAAATGATATTAGCAGGACGCTGTATAAATATTGCACTAAGGAAATCCTTTGTTAGACAAAGTATAGTATGAGAAAACGTGGCTTGAATTTTTCTCCGTCGATAATGCTGAGTGGCCTGCTGAACCACCGCTGCGAAAGTGCCAGCAAATTATAGAATTCCTGCAAAAGTGGCAGCAAAAGAATTCCTGCCGTCACTATCACGTACTGTGATTCGGAAAATCTGCTCAAAACTATTCACTAACAAAGCAAAGTGATATAAAAGTAACCAAAATAATAATTTTTTAAACACATTTTATTTCAAATACTTGGTAAAAATTTTTGATTAAGTACCTATTATCAAACTAGGTAAACTGAAACACAATTGAATGTGATGTTTCATCTAAAACCACAGGCTCGTTACTTGCAAACGCTAAAATGCCGCAGCAGTCAGAGACTGTTTGCAGCCCTCCAAATAAACTACATACTAGCTTGCGACACCACAGAGGAATCACCTTGTAAGTTTATTATGCCATAAAAAAGATATAGAGCCGAAGAACAAATCATTTCTAACTGACAAAGTACCAAATACGAAGTTTTGTAATCCTTTTTACTCTGGCCTTTTGTCCAACCCACTATGTACATCCCGCCAATCTTTCAAATCTATAAAAGTCAAGCTTTTTGAATGAAAACCTCAAGGTCTATCATGAATATAAGAATTTGCAAGGCTCTAAAGATGACCACCTTTGACAAAGACCAAGCTTTTCCGACGTTTAGCATAGCTTAACTCTGCCGCTAGCTCGTTTTTGAATTCGTAACTGAATCTCAGGTTCTACAGGTTGGTAAAGCTTAAAAAAATAGGTCTAATAAAAGTGTGCCACTTGACATGAAATGATTCATATAAATATAAGCATATATACAAACGTAAACATAAATATAAATATAAACATAAAGAAAATATGAGTCACTGTATGCCAAGTTGCACACCTTTCTCGATCAATCTCAGACTTCCATTTTTTGCGAACTTATAGCACTTGATACCAGACCATGAAATCAAAAAAGTTTACGCCAAAAAGTTCGGTGGCGCCAAAGTTAGCCAGTTCTAATATGCGAAAAAACACAGTTTCAGTTTCTCCACCGCTTCGTCGCAATTTTTCATTCACGATGGATTTTTAAAGTTTTTACTTTATTTGAACGCCGGTCTCTTATAGATTCAGAAAAGTAGTGAAATATGCATATTAACAAATTTGAAACAAAACTGAGACAGAAGCAAGAATTCAGGACACCTTTCCTAACAAAACTACATTTCAAATATTATAAAAAAGACGTACTGTGCAGAACTTTTTGCTGTACAAAATATTAAAATTTTGTAAGAGCGGTTTTTCGGTGTCGAGCGCTACGAGTCAACGGGGAATGTAAAACTGAGAAAAAACCGTTATTTTTACAGTCTTCCCACATATTCTACAGTAGTGCAACCGTCTGAAGCCGCTTCTGAAGGCCACGGCCGGCGGCTACAAAACTTGGTATGCTTCAAAGGCTGAAAATTCGTTACAAAAGTTGCACTTTACTTCCATAATATTGACAAATTCCTATATAGTGAGTTGTAAAATGTAACCTTCACTCCAAAAGTTTACGTTTCTCCTGCTTTATTTTGCAAAAATTATGTGGCTAGCACACATTTTGACATCACAAAATCAAAGAACTCACTGTTTTACCTAGTTAGCTGTTGGATCAATGTTTTTCTTACACTTCCTGTTTCTGGAGAACTAACAGCACCTAATTTCAAAAAAGGACAACAAATCGAGCTCATGTTCACCTACAGAACCGAAACTTTGATGAGTACAAGATGGAAACAATTCTGAAAGCTTTGAAACCGTGATAAACAGAAAGTGGAACTCACTGGAGTGAAAGGTTCTTCTTAAAACTTGGCAGAATAATAATTTGTTCATAGTATTGAAGCGCAATTTTTGTAACAAATTTTCAACGTTTAAAGCATATCAAATTTTCATAGACTTTTTTGTAGCTTCCAGAAGCGGCCCCAAACAGCTTTGCCACTGTAAAATTCTTGGGATTACTGTAAAATAGTAAGTTCTTCCCAATTTCCCATTCCATTCCGACTCGTAGCTTCCGACATCAAAAAATCGCCATCACCAAATTCTGATACTTTGTAGAGCAAAAAATCCTACAGAAAATTTCTTTTTTGAAAAACTCAGAAGTTCGTTTCTATTAATGTTCGTTTTAAACCTTTGAAATCTTCAAATTTTGTTGGAAACTGTACCTATGTGAATTTTTACCAGAATTATTTAATATGCTTATGTATATATAT